CCGGGGTCACGCGCCAGGCGGCGAGGTGGAGGGTGTCTCCGGCGGACCGGCGGTCGGGGTGCGCTGGCGCGGGCGGGGTGGCGGCTCCCGGACTGGTGGCCCCGCGGCAGTGCCGTGCGCCCAGCCTGACAGGAATGCCGGCATCGATCGCAGGGAGGGGAGCGTCGCCCTGCGCGACGTCACTGGCCGGGCCACAACAGACGGCAGGTTCATGGAACTGCGGCCGGCTGAGGCAGCGTTCGACGAACGGCGCCCAAATGTTTTCTGAGGCGGGTGAAGGCAAATCGCGGCCAGTTCTTGGTACAAATCAGCAGCAAACAGATGGTGATGCACGGTTCTCTGGAATATTTTTATGACTGCTGACCCTCGCTGTTCCACCAATTCGCTGATGAGCGATAGCCCGCTGCGCAATTTTGCTTATATAACCTGTTTTCCACCAAGTTTATCATACATTGCTGACCATTCTTGTTGCTGTACCGACTGCTGCAATTATGACTCAAACAACTGCATGCGTGGCGTGCGCTAAACATTGCTGACGCAGCTTATCGCGGTCAACTGCGGTCAACCCTCCAGTGTGCACACTAGTGCTGTCAGACCGCTGCGCGCTGTAGTGAAAGACCATTCATGACATGGAACACGCGGTGTGACTGGTTTCATTTCAAATGTAGTGTTCTGCACTTTCTCTTCCTCAGCTCGATACACATGGTGTATAGGCGCCACATGAACATTGAAGACGGTGCACCCCAAAGCCCAAATCATCAGTATCATACATACATATTACGTAGCCTATGGGGGCAATGATTTACAAGAATCGCTATGAAATTATGTAGTTACTAGTGCGGGTGCGAGCTCGCAAAACTAACCACCTGCTAAATACAAATACAAGTTTGCACTACTCCTTTGCATACCGCCCACAGCTTCTGTCTTACACATACAGCAAGCTCCCCGTCGGGTGATCCCTCCACGAAATGGCACGGCCTTTGCTGGATGGCTTATCATCCAAACGTCGAATGCAATATTGTATTGGTATTATGTACACCAAGACGGTAAGCATAGATTAATGAAGTAGTGAGCTCTAATGCAGCTGAAGCACTGCATGGCCCTACAAAGATTCCGTTAAGCTTTTGTTAAGCCCGCGCTGTCGCGATCGTGAGAATCTCGTGACTGCCGTGCAAGCAAGTCAGCACGCGAGCAAGCCGGCAAACAAGACGGACTCGGATTCGTCAGCGCCTCTATGTCCATACTCGTTCGCTCACTTCGAGCACCAACTTACGATGACTGAAATATAAATAGGGTACAGATGGGAGCAATAGTAAAAGGCAAAGAGGCCCAACGTTGACTTCGAATTTTTGTTCAAAGTTGGCCATCCGACCCATGTTGGTGTGTCATGATGCGCCCTGCGCAGTCGTAAGTAAATAGTGACAAGGCGAAACCGAGACAGCGATGTGACCTTCCCCTCCGCTTGCGTTCTAGACCTTAGAACTTTTCGTCATGTTTTGTTTTGTTTTGCATAGGAATATCACGATTGTAAAGGTACAGAAACCTCTCACACCAGATGCCACACAATCAGACGCATTAATGAGAAAGAAGCCAAATCAAGCCTGTGATGAATTGTTGTTGATAGGGACCTTACGCCAGTCAAATGCTGTTCGTAGATTTTGAGATATACTGCTCATAAGCGTATGCTCACAAGTGGCTTGGGTTATAAATGTCAGAGTAAACAATTTTAAGGCCGCATGCAATTTGACAGTTATGATCCTGTAGCTGTGTTGAGCGCTATGTAAGACCCCAGATGGAAGTGTCCCATCGACTGTCAAAACAATACGCTATCAAAAAGATAAAACATTGTTGAATGGTGATAAACATTATTAAATATAGCAATGGTGCTTAAAGTACGATCGTGTGTATAACCATATGCATATATATATATATATATATATATATATATATATATATACATAATATCTGTATATACATATGTATATGTATCCAGATATATAACTAAACGCTTATAGCATTTTTATGTATACTATGAAAAAAGTTCAGAGTATGTATCATTTAACTCAACTATTAGGCGTCTTATCATGCCATTGTGTGTCATGCATTTCTTTTACAAGTGTACTTCTTAGCTCCAATCGTCTCGTGTCGTTGCACACATAGTATTCCCTTTTTCATTGCCGAACATGTGTTGACCAAACGCACTTTCCAGAAAATTTGCCTGAGCAGCTCAGCAAGTGCTGAAGCACGCATTTCTCACTTGCAGGGCTGGTGTGTGGTATTCTTTCATGAATCATGCGATATATTTACGCAGGTGCTGATACAAACATATACATTTGTACATATATTATATATATATATATATATATATATATATATATTTCATGCATGTATCCGTTGAGAGTCTATTTCTCTCGCTCCACTCTGACCGAACCATGATGCACAATACATGCTACTGACCCCCCATTCTATCCAATACCTCAAATGTAAGAATCAAACCTTAAATTCGCAAGCTCGGAACACTGCTCTGCATGAATGGATGTGCTCTTCATCACAACATCACGAGTGTGCAGTGGCCATAGCAAAGACACGAAAAGTGTGGGTCAGACGTAGCGAGTGGGTTCATTTGTTTAACGTGCGCTTGAATGCGGGCCAACCTGACCCCCAAAGGTTTTTCAAAATGATTTTCGAACGGCGCGGCGCAGCCACCAGAAGGCCAGACCAATATAAAGACTAGCCTGCTTTATGCTTGTCATTGTTAAAAAGTTTTTTCCGTGCTCTGCTCTAACTTGTACATGAAATATGTACTTCAGAGCGGTTGGTAGTTGGGGTAGTTTTTGGTGCTGATTTTACGTTTCTAAATGACACGGACCGCAACAGACATGTTCTATGGACTTTTTAATTGTCAGAGTATGCCTACAGACCTAAAATGAGTCAGGTCAAAATTTTGTTTTTAGGAACCTAGCGCAGTGGCAATCTCGTAGATTTTGGTCATACTAGTCCAATAAAGGTGAAACAAGTTCACTGGCCTCATTTAGCTTTCGCTTAGAACGGGCATCTAGCTTCGGGAGGTTACATGAAGAAGTCTGAGAACGCTTGAGACGCCAATCTAGAGTTTTCCCTTGTTTGATCTTATCCGACTTTAAGGTCACCCAGGAATCCCAAATTCTTACATCAGTGAGTTCTTGCACAGGTTAACCCACCGTGTGAGTTTGGTGTTTCTAGCTATCTTAGTTTTGAGACCTAAGCGAGTCAAATTGGTCCTCCTCCGAGCGAAGGGTGTTTAACCAGCCACCCGGGTCCGCCTTAAGATCCAAAGTGCTTCCGCACTTTCAGTCGCTCATCTCGATGCGTGCTAACATCTAGCAATGCATCAACAGAAGGACTGTAGAATAATGCTCTACTTAGGCATTTTTGTTAACCACCTCATTCACACAAATGAAATAACTGTTATCATCTTTTGTGGATTCAGCCGCAATTTCACTACACTAAATATATCCCTAATATCGAATGCTACATTACATGCTATCTTTTAGTTCTGTTTCAGGGTGATGAACATAAAAACGTCAATTTTGTGTGTTGCAGGATAGCCAAGCACTGCACAGCCCTCCAATTCTTTTGCTAAGCAGTTGCTCGACACAGTGTATTTTGGCGATCGTGAGAAAATCCCGAATGTATGCAAAAAAGCAAGCAACGCAGGCTCGGGCCTGCTCTCTCCCGTATAAATGTGTTCGTTTGCTCGCTTCACTCGCGCACTTATCATAGTCTGAGTGAGTAATGATAGCACTTTGCCGTGTGGTAACAAGACAGAAGCATTACACTACACTGATTTTAAATATGCTGCGAAGGACGCTTGCTTGACAAACAAGAGCCATAGCCTACAAAGAGCTATACAGTTAGCGTCTGGCTAACAGCAAGTGTGACGAAACTGCAATGAAACCAACGTGCAAAACTGCACGAAGAACATGTTTCTAAGGGGAATTATACTGATGAGGTGTAATTCGGATCATTTAAAGTGAACAGAGCCACCAGAGCAGTGGGTTTACTCACCCTGTCTGTGTACTCGATGACCGAGGAACAGTGGGCCTACTTACCTTGTCTGTGTACGCGATGACCGAGGAGTGCGTATGAGGCCTGACTTGGCTGGGCGTCACCGGCCTCTCAAAGCGCATGTCCGTCACCGTATCAGAAGGCGCCACCATCATGCAGCCCTCGCCACAGCGGACACCACAGCCGGCCACACAGTCTGCACTCGTCTGCTCAGATGCTCCCTAGTCTGGCTCGTCACTGCTGATCGCACCTGGCGGGGGTTCGCTGCGAACGCGGCCCGAGAGCCTGGCGGCGTCCAGTACTTCTACCGCGACAGCTAGGCCACCACCACCACCACAGCCGCGGTCCTGCGAACACTGCTGACAGACAACAGCAGCCGCACGTCGCTGGCTCCGCCACGCCCAGCTCTGGCCAGCGCCGTCGCCAACGACCTTGTGCGAGTTGAAGAGCGTTGGACCGATGATGACGTGCTCGCCTTCGCCGCCGGCGTACCAGGAACGGGGCTTCGATCGGCGATCGGTCGCACCCTCCCCCTCCCCCTCCCCGTCCACTCCCTCCCCGAGCACCAGGTGCGCGACGATTCGTCGGGAGCCAGCGTGGCATGAGGTAAACAAGCCCACGATCAATAGCTTTTCGTTTTTTTTAGGAGCTTAGTGAATACGTCATCAAAGCGTGTTTGTGACGGCCGCCAGTTTTATGTAACATCCGTGAATAATAAGGTAAATCGATGCGTGTCGCGACGTGGACGGCCTCGTGCCTCGTTACGAATGCGAAGAACTCGCCGACGTCCCACGCGCTACTTTGTGATGGCACTATCGCGTGAGGAAGGTAACATAAATAAGTTCTTGCCCGGAGGTTACCAGAACAAACAACGCATTCGTGGACCATTCCAGCATGATCTGTCTCGAGCTCGCTACGCTCCGATGATTTACACCATCCACAGAATACCCCACCATCTGTATTTTGTTCCATCTACTTACATGATAACCAACACAATAAGAGACCAAATAAAGTCCGCGACCAAAAATGCACTTGTCACAGCTGTCACGGGGTCTAAAGGATGGCTATCAGTTTCGTCTGGTTGGACTAATACCCAAACATCTATGGTCATCCCTCTGTCGCGATTTTTGAAAATGCCTATTCCAAATATGTCTGCAGATCAACAATTTTCCAAGGTCACTTTTCACATCAGTATTATGAGACAGGAGCCTGATTTGGTGCCGAATCTGAAACGCACGGAGGCTAAGATGGCCAGGAGCGGAACACGCCTTTTGTTGACACGCGTTTCAGAATAGCAGGTGAATTCTGATACGGAACGCTTGTGTTCCTTCATCACGTGTCTCCTTGCCACATTATGTTTTCGAATTAGTTGATACCATGAGACCAAATCAAGAAATATCGCAAACGTGAAATGACATATAAGCAAGCGGTGACGGAACAAACGTGAAACTAAGGCAGGTAGCGTTTGCTGTCATTGTCGGTAAGCGCTACCTAACCAAGGTAATGGTTACCGAAGATGCTGATAAACCTGGCAACATTTCGCGAGTTTTGTGTCCTTATTTTCGTGTATTTCGGACCTAGCCCCACGTACATTCCTGACAAATAATACTATCCCGACATGACCCAGGCTATGCTGGTGCGCGGTGTGACGGCACAGCAAGACCTCCTTCTATGTGGGTGCATGCCTGCAGGGTGACGTGGCTGACCTGGCTTAAGCCTGCAATAGTCCAGGCTACGGTCGTAGTTTCGTCCAATAAGTTGGGGGGAGGCTGAGCAGAAAAGATTACGAAACCCATCTCAAACATACCCAGCAAACTGGTTTCTCACCTGATTTGGCCCGCTTTCTTCTCAATGTTGCGGGGAGGGGGGCTGGAGCCCCACTCAACTTACTACGGAACTACACTCATGAGGAGGGGGCTGAGCTCAGTCAGTCGGAATCTTTCCATGAAATTTATGAAGAAACATTTATATTCTGTGTGGTGTTGACAATGATTTTTAAAGGAGGCTGAGGGCTCTGCCGTGCCTAGCTGTTGAAACTGAATGCAGCCGAGCCCAATACACCACCGATTGACCCATAGCAAGGTCCTGACAATGGGTTTGACGATAGCAGTGGAAGGGGATTAGGGGGCAGATAGCAATAGAGGGGGCATAACATAGAAGGGGACAAGGGGGATTCGCCGGGCGCGCCGGGAACTCGGCGCGCCCTGCCGATCGGCTGGCCGTCACGTGACAGTGGCCAGGGGCGGGGCGGCCAAGTGTGACACAACAGTCCCGCGATCCGCTGGTGGCCCGACAGGAGCGCAATACTGAATGCCCTGCCAGGCTGCCACTTCAAGCAACAAGAAATAGTGTTGTTCGTAGCGTGAAACGGCATAATGGACCAAAGCCCCCTGGCTTTGCTGGTGTTGTCCCGCACGTTTATAAAGCTTGAGAGTATGTCAAAACATGATCCGACTTTTCCCCAAATGAGGTGCAGTACCTGGGCTAGTCAGTAGTCCGTACTAAGAGTACCACAGTTCGCTCGTTGGGCTCGGGTGAACCAGTACGCGGCGTGGCGTCCCAGGTCAAAGATAAACCTCGGGGGAGTGAGTGCGCAGTGCGTGACACTCCGTCATCTGAGGTCTGTGATCAGCAGTCACCGTTCCGGTGCATGTCGTCACATGTGAGGCTTGTCACATAGTGGGCGGTACGGTACATCTCGTCACATCAGTACGCGGTACGGTACACCTCATCATATCGGCACGCAGTACGGCTCACCTCGCTACAGCAGCACGCGGCACGGAATACCTCGTCACATCAGTACGCGGCACGGTACACCTCATCACATCAGTACGCGGTACGGTACACCTCGTCGTACGTAAGGCTCGGAAGACTGTCGGTCTCCGCCGAGCTCTGACGGCGAAGTCCCGGCCGTGCCTCGGTCTCTCCTCTTCCCCGGACGTTCTCAGCTTCCGGCAATCCTCTGTCTCGGACGTTCTCAACATCCGGTAACCCTCTGTCCCGGAGGTTTTCCGCTTCAGGTTCCCCTCTTCCCTGAAAGTTCTCCACTTCAGGCTCCCGACTTCTCCGAACGTTCTCCACTTCCGGCTGCCCTCTCAGCCAGACGTTTTCCACTTCCGGCTCGTCCCTTCTACGGAAGACCTCCATTTCCGGCTCACTCTCCAGCGGACTCGCACTCCGCCAGGGGTCGTTGGTCGAGGTTTCCAGGCTGTCGTCCCTATCCAGAGGACGAGGATGGCCGTTTTGCTCCCACCCTGGCGCGGTCGGCGGTGGCGAGATGGCTTGCGGCCCGGCGCCGGCCTGTGCCGAGCCGTACCACTGCGGCTCGTGCTCCTGCTCCGAGAGGGGCTGCTTCTTCCACGACTCGTCCGCGTTGCTATGTCGGATCCCGTAGCAGAAGTAGATGATCAGCCCTGCCCATACAAGTAAAGTTAAGTACGCAGCGCAGGCACGTTCTTCCGAGATAAGGAATGCCGGTGATGGCCTCATGCAAAATCGCAAAAAAATAGTAGTTATCGCCCTTAAAAACCTCGCCCAAAGGTAAAGCTATCAACCAAACACCCGTGGATGAAAGTTGTTATCCTAGCAGTCATCACGCATTTCCAATAGCACTTGAGTAAAACAAGTTGCGATAGCCAGATGGTTCTGACCTGGTCAGCATATCCAGTTGGGACATACATTTGTTTTTTCGACCTGAACAAGATAATTTTCATGAACAAATATGAGAATAAATATGAATACCCTTGCCTGCAATCAGGCACAAGCAGCGCATTTTCTGCTATCATCTGACTCATAGCAGCACGCTGTGACACATCTCGCAGTATCACTGACGCGTCCTCCTCAGACGTCTAACCCACCAGCCATCATCCAGAAGAGGAACCTCAGCCAGGTGCCCGGCTGCAGGTAGCTGAGCAGCACCATGTTGAAGCCGATGGAGCAGAGGGGCACGACAGGACAGAACGGCACGGCGAACGTGCACGGCTCGGTCTGCTCGAACGCCAGCAGCGCGGCGCCGCCTGCAGCACCAGACGCGGCGAGTCGGGTCGGCACGAGCGCTGACACACGCTGACACGTGGGGACGCTGCTGCGCTGCTTCAATGACGCCCTCTGAACTTGAGAAGGTTTTTGAAGCGATATAAGTGTCCGAGCTGGTGGTTCTCAAACTTAACGTGGCGGATAGTGCGTATATCGGTACTCGGAATGGATACAACATGTAGTTATCTTTATGCTGATAGCTTTTGACAAAAAGTACCCCTTAGTCTACCGTTTCCCGCCCCGACGGACACAACGTCCGTGCGTAGATCAACTGCCCTGAAGCTCAGGTCCGTTCTATGAATGGAAAAACACGCTCCTATGTGCTGTCTCTACGCAGCGTCGCAGACTCACAGCACGTGATGATCGTGGCGAAGAAAAGGATCATGATGACAACCACGACGCTGCCCCTGTCCTCCGTGCGGGCGATCAGATAGCTGAGCAGAAAGGTGGCCGCCGTGAACGTATAGATGGCGCCAGTGGGCACGGCTCCGTACGGCAGCGGTGCGACGAACGGGTCCAGGAAGTGGCAGCTCTCTCGCAGCTCTCCACCGATGCAGTCGGTCGTCTGCCAACGGCGGCGAGCTGTTTTGTCAGAGATCGACTGCCACGTGCAACACGTGGGTCCCGGCCCCTCCCCACCGGGTCCATCCCGCCCACCTTCGTGTCATCGCTGTTGAGCAGCGTAAGCCTATCGTCCTCCGTGTCATCGCTGTTGAGCAGCGTAAGCCTATCTTCCTCAACACCTTCCGCCCCGCCCGCCCACCTCCGTGTCATCGCTGTTGAGCAGCGTAAGCCTATCGTCCTCGACACCTTCCGCCCCTCCCGCCCACCTCCGTGTCATCGCTGTTGAGCAGCGTAAGCCTATCGTTCTCAACACCTTCCGCCCCTCCCGACCCGCCCACCTCCGTGTCATCCCTGTTGAGCAGCGTAAGCCTATCGTCCTTAACACCTTCCGCCCCTCCCCTCCCGCACACCTCCGTGTCATCGCTGTTGAGCAGCGTAAGCCTATCGTCCTCAACACCTTCCGCCCCTCCCGCCCACCTCCGTGTCATCGCTGTTGAGCAGCGTAAGCCTATCGTCCTCAACACCTTCCGCCCCTCCCATCCCGCCCACCTCCGTGTCATCGCTGTTGAGCAGCGTAAGCCTATCGTCCTCAACACCTTCCATCCCTCCCGTCCCGCCCACCTCCGTGTCATCGTTGTTGAGCAGCGTAAGCCTATCGTCCTCAACACCTTCCGCCCCGCCCGCCCACCTCCGTGCCGTCGCTGTTGAGCAGGGTTGGCCGGTAGCGCAGCATGAGCACAGCCATGGCCACCATGCTGTAGCCGACCAGCGTTCCCATCGAGAGGAACTCCACCAGACTGCTGATGTCGAGCACCAACGCCAGGAGCGCTGACACGCCGCCCAGCACGAACGTGTTCAGCACCGGCACCTGAAGATACACGCGAGCAGGATGAGCGCTCGCCTTGGTCAGCGCGTTTCTCGCCGGCTGGAGGCACGACGACCTGGGGGAAAGCTTTACTACTCATGCATGTTTCCAGATTTAAAATAATGGAGTTGCAGATGTGGTGCATGCTAATTTTGCTAATTTGCCGCCCCTGCTAATTTTGCTTGTATCTAGAAGACTGATGACTATGTGAAACATACAAAACAGGCGAAGTACAATGCAAGCAGGAGGAAGCTCGCGTCACGCCAATGGTAGGCATTGATGATTGCTGAACGACATTGGTACTAGTGAATATTTGAATGCAGTTAACGTAATAGAATATCACACGGATGATGATATTACCGTGAAAGATCAAGGTCAAGACCAAGGCCATGGTTAAGCAATGTTGTAATTCGTCAGGTACGTGAGTGACTTCAAAAATTAAATCCAAAGCTGGTATTTACGTTCTTTCTGTCCTTACCTGCGTCCGCTTGCTGACTTTGGAGAACACTCGGAAGATGAGACCGTCTGATGCCATGTTGTACAAGTACCGAGGTACGGTGTACATGTGGCCGTACAGCACGCTGCTCATCCCAACCAGAGCCGCCACCGACACCAGGTACTGAGCCCACTCCACCTGTAGACGAACATAATCACAGACAGCTCAGAGGTGACGATCTGAATGTGCACCCCTACCTACGCGCGGCGAATTACAGCATTACACTGCGATTGACTATACAGAAATGAACGCATCATGCACAACCCACCACAGACTGTTTGTAGACCGCTAATACTTTATCATGCGGTCTTTTCTGTATCATGGGTACCTTTATATTCGCCTGCATATCCATGTTAACAAGACAATAACCTATCACTCCTCCATGTATCCTTTCAAAAGCAACAAGGTTATCTGCATACATCCATGGCAGACCTTTTTCACCGGACCTTGTCTTCCGTACCCCGTGAAATGCGAAGGCTTCAGCGAGGGCGGCATCCACGTTCACCAAGTTGTAGGGGACCATGAGCGTCAGGGTCGTGGTGACCAGCAGGTATCCCACCGTGACGACGCCCATGGCGTAGAAGGTCGCCCGCGGCACTGAGTAACCTGGCGACGGGACGTGACGTCAGCAGAATCACGATGGGATGTGACGTCAGGAGAATCACGACGGGATGTGACGTCAGGAGAATCACGGCGTGATCGCTGTAAGTCTTCCACGTTCTTCACTCGTTTGGTTGTAGGGATTAACCCGCTGGTTAAAGTGAAGCGTATGTTTGACAATGAAAAGTGTTTTAGCAGCAGTGGTCCGGCAAAAACTCCTACCGCCAGGAGTGCCATGACATCAGGTATGTGCAACATTTCTTCTGCTGCAAAATGGCCGCTGCTGCAGGCTTTTTCGTACATGACTACTTCTACTGCAACATCTTACACATCTTTCCTGATATGCGACACTGCTTGTGCTGCAAATAATCATAATCGACATGAATACTACACGACAAAACTTATTATGAATACTGCACCTCTGTTGTAAAAACTTGTACAGTATCTTCTCATCAGCTATATAGCTTTTTGAACTAGTGCCTGTATGCGACATTTGTGCAGTACGTTGCAGGCCATAATCGACAAGTAAAAATCCCGAATGGAATTAAACCCCCAAAGTCCCGGATGGAATGAACACATGGAAGCACACCCGTATGAGAGAAATCAGACTACAGGTGCCCACTTTATGGTGTCGATACATTATTGCTACTGTAAGTATTGCGGTGGACAAAACCGCGGCGACTCTAGTTCTACGCGACATTTGTTCGGCCGAAAAAAGGATGGTACATTGCCGTAGCGTTGCAAAACAGGTTTGAGGGCTAAGCGATGAAAAACGGCCAAACCTGCTCTGGTATGCATGGAGTACGGCGCTTGCCCTGAATGTGACACATCTCCCTATCACATATGGGGGTTGGATGGTGTCTACGACTGAATGCGAAATTACACTCCTGGCTTGGTGTTCACTGAGATGCGTCATTAATTCTACTACAATTACCTATGTAAGGCTCCAGTGTTGCACGGCAAAACCATCACTTAAAACACCTTTACTCGTCATTGAGATTTTGCTACCAAAACTACTTCGTCTATAGGCCAAGCACGACGAATCGACAAAACAACGTCATATAATTAACAAACATTTTCCGCATCAGCACCAAAACTTTTATTTGCAGTATCACCCAGCTGGGATTCTCTCCTAATCTGCGCATTGTTCATCCACCCTTGCTAAGTGTTCACGCATTTCACACTCCACAACAAGCATTAACAGCATAAGAAAGGTTGCCTTTACATAACGACTGCATAAGATTTTGCAGTCAAAATGTCAGTTGTGCGTTTTCAAGAACAAATCTTGCCGTGCATCACTAACTTTGCGCACAAGTCCTCGTAGGAGAAGTAACATTGTGTATAAGCAATGGCTGCATAAGCTCTTGCAGTAGAGGCAATAACGCATACACTCTTTGAAGCATACGTTTGGTCGTGTTGCGCCCATGTCGCGTATAAGTTTTTGCAGAATAAGTAAAATCCTGCACGAGTGATCACTATATGGGGAGTATAAACTATGCAATTTTAAGTATTGGTTTTGCCGTACAGCACCAATGTCGCTTATAAGCATTTGCATCAGAAACAATGTCGTGCGTAAGCTATTGCTGTCAAAGTTTTGCTGTAAAGGTGATGGCGGGTATAAATTTGAGTACTGTAAATTTTGTCGCGTAGCACTAATGGCATGTCTAAGTATTGGCAGTAAACGTAATGTCGTAGCACTCCTGTCGGAAAGAATTTTGTTTTAGCACTTATTTCGTGGAACTGCATTGAAATAGTGCCTATCCTGGGTGACTCCTAAGTGCATGTGTATCTGATTGCTCATCGACAATGTAGGCAAAATTGCTTATCAAACAAAAAAAGCAAGACATTACTGATTAAAAGGCGTGCAAGTATCGAGAGAATAAAACTGATGCCGGGTGCTTTTAAATGTGTTTGCGACCAGACACCATCAATGTACTGCTGGCACAAAATGTTTTCCACGACCACATATACATATCACAACACCTCGTATCACTTAACACGGCACTTACGCATCAGCACGCAAGTTGGGTGCACTGACCAGGATCCTTGGCCTCCTCAGCGGCGATGGCCATGCTGTCGAGCCCGACGTACGCGAAGAAGCAGCTGCTGGCCCCCGACAGCACACCCGAGACGCCGAACGGCATGAAGTCGTTCCAGTTGGAGAAGTTGGCGAACGCCAGGCCATACGTCGAGACGAATAGCATGACGGCCACGTTTACCAGCGAGAACAGGCTGTTGATGTTCGCTGCAGGGACATCACGGTGACGATTATTATGAAACCAAGGCATTCAAGTGATTCCCCTTATTTTTGCTTTAAGGAAATAACAGTGGTTGTCGCTTTTTATGTATTTGTTGTCCATGGTGGTGTCCACAACCCGGCCTTGCCGATGCGGCTATCATTCCATGGCACTTGATGATGCCTTGCTTCTTCTCAGCTGAATTCGTTAGGTATACCACGCATGCAGCACAACTCAATTACAGATATTGACGTGACTACGACGTGCCAGGTCTCAAACGCATTTGAAACAGATTCCCAAATAGAACATATCAGACTCAGACTGGCTTACGTCGGCCGTTTATTTTCAACACCCGGCTCTCACAACAACGAACCGCCGGGCTCACCCGACATTCGCGAGACCCCTGAAGGCTTGACATCCGAACTTACTTGACCCCCTGACCCCGATGGCCTGCAGCAGGGCGAACAGCAAGACGACACCAGCAGCCAGGAAGTCGAGCTGCTCAGCCCACGCGGAGTGGTCCGTGGTGCCCGAGGCGCCACCCGTCGTGGCGTTCCTGATGGCGCCATGCGCCAGGCTGTCCACGTACCCGCTCCAGGCACGTGCCACGGACGCGGCACCTGGCGCCGACCGACAGAGAGGTGGTCACGCGGAAATGTGTCCGTGGCAGCGTAACCCCAGGCACGGGCTGCGCTCTAGCATAAGTTGTCGCGTTTGTCACCGAACTATTCATTCTCCACACGCGTGTATCATGTGTTATACCGTGCTGTTCACTGGTATGTATGACGCTATGCTGGTCGTTGTCACATGCATTCGAGCCATCATGTGTATATGTCTACATCGGTTTTGTCCTATGCACCACACCAAATGAAAATTGAACTTCGCTTTCGCAGCGTTCCACTGCACTAGCACGCAACCGACTATTTGGTCACGTAATTTGTCGATGCGAGCTTGAATAAAGGCTGTAAATCGTGCCAGCCGCACGCAATACTAACTTACCGCAATGAAAGGGACTGTGGCTGCTAAACAACCATTTTGAGGCTAATTGCGTGGAAAGTTGCCGCATGCTTGCCGGATTCATCTGGTGGATCAGATTTTTCCTTTTCCTGTGGTCATTTTACTACAAGGGCCTACGGGCGACACTCAGACTAAACAGTTGCAAGCACAATCTCTGCACGAATTTTATCCGTCCTCCGCGGATTGCAGGCTTTCCAACAGCGACATCGTAACAGAACCAACATGGCCGCGACATCTGACACACAGCTCGCCCTTGCGACCCTCCATTTACGTACCGACCAGCTGGTCGAGCACCATGTTCCAGCCGACGAGGAAGGCCCAGAACTCGCCCATGGTAATGTACGTGTAGACGTAGGTGCTGCCGGCCTTGGGCACGCGCGAGGCGAACTCGGCGAAGCAGAGGGCGGACAGGAAGCTGACGGCGCCGGCGATCAGGAAGGAGACGATGATGGCCGGACCGGCGATATCGCGCGTCACGGGACCTGTCAGCACGTAGATGCCGGCGCCCACCATGTGGCCGACACCTGCGGCCGTGGACGGCGCCCGGTCAGAGCCGGGGAGACCGGCAGGGGGCACGCCACGGAGGCAGCATGGTGGAATGTCACCGTCCGGTCAGAGCCAGGGAGACCGGCAGGGGGCACGCCACGGAGGCAGCATGACGAAACGTCAGAGGCAGACAGACCGGGGGTAGACCGGCGGGGACGTCTTGAAGGCAGCATGGTGGAGCGTCAGAGGCAGGCACAGCGAGGGAGAGCAACAGGGGGAACATCACGGAGGTAGCATGGCAGAGTGTCAGAGACAATCAGAACGAAGGTAGAAGAAACATGTTGTATACATTAATTAGTACATACTATCACTGAGGTCCTGCGGAGTCACGTAGTCCGTTACTTGTCCACTGATTTAGGGCACGTGGGTCATACAACATCGCGTGTGATTTATGCACTGCACGTTAGACTGCCGCAATTCTAAGGTTGGGAAATGTCACATGTGCGCGCGTGGCTCAGATCGCACTCGCGCGGTTGACGTGCTGATAACACTTGAGACCTGTGGCCCAAGTAGCACTCATGCTGCACTTTTTGTGCAGTAAGAGCATTTCCAGAAATGATGGAGCCATTTTCAATATGTATGACCCCCAAATGATCAACACAGGGTTAATGCTAGCCCCCCCCCCCTTCATAGTTTCTTGTTCACCTAAAATGCCAAAAGCCGAGTAGGCTAGAACCACGATAAAATATTTGAAATCTCTCGTCAAACGGCATCAGACAGGTGTGACTGAACACAGAAGGATGTGTTTGACAAGCCGAATCACATTGCAGTGGGTGATTAAGTACTTTACGGACTATTACAAAGTTCTTGAAAAAGTTATCAGGTGAGCACTGGTGGACATCGACAGGCGCGACCTGTGTGATAGATCATTTCCTGTAAGAGGGGTGAAGGCTATTGCTGTAACAACCCCTCCGGCTACGTCAGGGTCTGGTCAGGCGACGCCAGCATCGAAAACAGCGATCGATAGGCTTCCATGGATGGAACACATGCGTCATGAATTTTTTATCGTATAATGTTCCAAATGTCGAATCTGGGCGCCAAGGTCAAATGTGCCAAGCTTGACCTTGGATGGTCTGACCGTGTCAAACAGCCAGAATGATCTTGATGCACTTTAGACTTATATAATTATGACAATAATTCTAGATATAATCTTGGAGGCTTGTTTCCGGCGAAAATGGCGTTAGTGATCATTTCTGAGCAAAATGTCACCGACATGACCCCTTAAAAGGTCATAGGTAATAAGCCATCAAAGCCAAAAATTCACGTTTTTACATATGTACAGATGTTCACTAAGCAAGCCAAAGTTTAAGCATTGTAACAGAGCTAGTAAACTTTATTCTGGGAAAAATATTAGGGACCACTGATGTTTTTTCAAGTGATATAGGGAAGGTCAAAAAACGATTGAAGTTATGTGCTGTTGATTTATTATTGAAGATTGATAGCTTGCATATTGTACCTGCTCTAATTATCTGTTGCAATGAGTTCTGGACATCCTAGGAACTCATGCATATTTCTACATAGCTTTTCAAAACAAACGTGGATATAAAGCCTAAAGCTAAACGTGCATATTTCCAGGTACCTAAAAGAGTGATGTCGAATGTCGTGAGGCATCGCTTGAGAGGTGTCTGCATGCTGTCCTCCTCCATGGGCCTCTTCCTGGCCAGCTTGTACCAGACCTCGGAGACGTGTGTCGTCAGCCTCTCCATGGCGTCTGCTGGCCGGCTCAGCTTTCTGAACTCAGCGGCTGGAGCGGATCAGCAGCACTACAGCAGTCTCACCGAGCGCGCGTCCCCGCACCGTCACCTCCTCAGCCCCGCCACTGCCGCCTCCGCTGGCGCGCCACGTCCCCGCCGCTGTGCCCACCCGCTGCGCGCGGCACTCCGATCCGACTCACCGGACCTCACTGCGCTTCACTGCAAGCACTGCGTTCACTTCACTCAGCGCCCTACACCTCGGCTGTCGTCCTCACAGCATCACCCTGCTCTAGGTCAGGGTTTCGGTTACCCAGCGGCACCACGAGACGCCCCTCGTGCCCCACCAGCTCTCCTCCGGCCGCAGGCGACCGCCGTCCTCAGGAGGCGGTCCGACCGTCGATCCGTCGCGCGGCGCGACTCTCCTCCGGAGCGGCGCCGGCGGGCGTGGCCGGCTGTCGCGCGACCTGTCGCCGGTGCCGAGGCGTCGCGCGTCCCTCACACCTGGCTGCCGATCGATATCGAGCAGAAGAACAGCGGGATCGGCGCTCCCGGCCGGCCTAATGGCCACACGGCGCCGCCCGGGGTCGCAGGCACAGGTTGAGGACACGCGCGGTATTACGGCAGTTATAGCGCTGGCAGCAAGGTCATGACGACGCTAAATGGTTATCGACATTGACGCACCCAAGGTGGCATTGTCGTGGTGTAATAACCTTCATTACCACGATTGCATCATGCTGTGATTGCATCATGTCATCATTACATCATGTTATTATTGCGTTATGCTCTGATTACATAATGTTATGATTACAACATGTTGTAGGCGCTGGCATATCATAATCATGTTATGATTACATTGTGTTATGATAGCATCATGTTATGAATATATGGTGTAGGTGTTGGTATGCTTGCATGTTGTAGGCAATCATCGTGAGGTCGGTGCGATATAGAACTTACCATAACCAAGCCTGGGCTCATACAGTCGTACATACATACATACATACATACAAACATACATACAGTCATACAACGATGATCAAGGTAGGCATAACAGAACAAGTCACATGTGGTGACATTCGCCATTGCCTGTGTGATAGAGTTTGCCAAGAGCTATTGAATGCCGTCTTCTGCCTTGCCGTAGCATACAGGAGTATCACTTTGTATACTTTTGGGGGCGGGCCTGAGAGAAAGAGATAGAGAGAGAGAGAGAGAGAGAGAGAGAAGAGAGAGAGAGAGAGAGCGATAGGAGAGAGAGAGAGAGAGAGAGAGAGAGAGAGAGAGAGAGAGAGAGAGAGAGAGAGAGAAGAGAGAGAGAGAGAGAGAGAGAGAAGAGAGAGAGGAGAGAGAGAGAGAGAGAGAGAGAGAGAGAGAGAGAGAGAGAGAGAGAGAGAGAGAGAGAGAGAGAGAGAAGCGATGATAGAGAGGAGCGCAGTTAAAAACTACTATAAAAAACAAGGTGAAACGTCAGTTGATGTCAAATAAGAGAGGTGTATATCTAATTATGACTATACTATGCAACCGTGTATATATATATATATATATATATATATATATATATATATATATATATATATATATATACACTCGGTTGCAATGTCCGTGTCCATAATGTTTATTTTATTGGACATCAATCTGACGTTTCACCTTGTTTTATAGTAGTTTAACTGAAGGTCATCACCTAGAAACCTAAAATGTTCTCAAATGCGAATTCACGCACGGGCTAAGCCAACCTGTAAATTTGGCGTCTGTAATTATTTTAGATGTTGTCTTTTAGATCTTTGAGGGTCAAATTAACCCCCACTCGAGCAAAGGGTGTTCAACCAGCCATACGGGCGCGTGTATATTGAACTAAAGATTAAAATAAATGACGTACTTGTTCATTGTGAGAATGACCAAACATTATACGGCTCTAGCATTTTACGCTGCTTTTAAATCAGTTTAGGATGATTTGTAACCACACTTAAAAGTAATATAAAGCTGTACCGAAGCCTCTCACTCCCCCACTTGTTTCAATACCGTTATGCTCCATCCCCCCCCCCCCTCTCCTATCCACCCCCCGTCCACCTGCATGTGTAACGTAATTTGTGGACAGCCCCTTACGGTCCGCACGCCCTGATGCCACCGGAATCTGACACCGCCTCAAGGCCCGTCTGTCGGTGACCTGGGCCGACGGCTGCGGGGCCGGCGGCGGTCACGTGACCTAAATTACTTCGGGGTCGGGCTTGGCGACCCATGGCATTCAGCTGTTGGAGGACGGCCGCACCCGGCGGGACGTCACCTACGCGCCGGAAACAATCCCGGTGGACCTCATAGCTGGGGAGGGTGGGTGTCGTTCGTACGTGTGAAAAAGCCCCGGGCAGCGTTTAATCTCCAGCATTCTTCCTGATAACGCTGTCAGAGGCAGCGCCAACATCTGCGGGAGCTGACGACTGATTGCCTCTGACAGCATTGAGTCACGCGAGACAGATGACTTGCCACTTTCTGCAATTTTGATGCATTTTTTTAGCTTATTGCGAAGCTACCTTAGAGGCCGCCAATGAACCGTTCTCTTCCGCATTGTGTGGCGTTTATCTGAGAAAATCTGCTGCGTGTAAAATGCAATGCGTGTCAGGCACAAAATAGATGTTTTTTTAGGCTCGGCGCTGTCTGTTCCACCCCTACCAGGACAAAGCAGCTATTTAATGTCGCATTGATGCCCCGAGCTATCTGAAGAGTATGGACCATGGGCTGTGCTGCCGTAGGGGACGTCGGAAGATAGTTTTTGTTTGAGTTGCTGCGATAATACGAAAAATATAACTATCACTGGGACACATAACGCTTGCAAGCTATAAAAGGCATTTAATAGGCGGTAAGTGGCAAAGCTATGAGGCGCATAGAGGAAATTGTGCGAAATATTTCGAGTCTGCAGAACAGAATAACGTTATGACGTAGACGTGATATAGAATATAATAACGTAGCATAGAAATATGCATACAGGTGAAATAACTGCTTTAGGCAGCTGTATTTATCATTTGTGCCAAAAGAACGCATCATACTGCATTTTCATGCAAAGGCACCAGCGGCCGAGAACCCATTCATCGTAATATGACTCTCTTTTTAGCTTGGGAATTTTAATGCAACATTTTGAGAAATTACAGGCTTCCGACCATAATCAATCAGTCATACGTCTCGTGATGTTGAATGAGGGAGGCGATATCATCTATACATGGAAGTTGCAAAGGTCGTTTTACAGATGTCACCAACTAAACTAAGGAGTCAAACACCCCGGGCTACTGCACCAATGCCAATCGATACTTTTTGTCAAATCAATACAATTTACGGTTTAAGGAAGTTTGACGTACGAATGTACATTGATGTAGCATTAGGATTACTCGCTAAATAAGTTTGGACAAAAATTTGCTGCCCATGGGACTCACCATGTCTGGCATTTTCAATCAACTAAATCAATGAATTCGCAGGGGTCTGGGATTTTAAAAATCGCAATCGGAGCATTGTGATAAACGTAAAAATGTTTGGCAGATATTGATCACAACAAACTGGGCCACGCGCTTGAGTAATCATCATCTCCCAGTTTATAATGATTAGGCCAAAGCATTTTGCATTTGAGATGTGTTTCGGAGAAGTTCACACTCGGCTGCTTCAAGGTCCATTACTGGCGCACCCATTGGTTGAACAGTCTTAAGATATGTTAGTGAGAAGGTGCGTTCGCCTGCACCGTGCGATTGGCTTCACGCTTGCCATTGAATCGCTCATAAACCTGAGACATTTCCTGGGGTTGCTGAGATTTGACATCAGTTTTTGAAAACGCTCGCAGAGCGAGTGGGTAACGGTTTTGGCACGCAAGCATATGACCGTCTTGGTGCACCGACCCGTGCTTTGGGCATAACGGTTGTCTTCTTTTTCAGTTAGAATGTGCTGTTTTTGTGTTGCTGTAAAAATGGATGGTTAAAGTCTGGTCGTTCCCTCGGTTCCTTCTCTGTAGCTTTCTCGTAACTTTAAATGTCGCTATTCTCGCAAAAAATGCAGTAGAACATGGAAACACTTCGTTGTGCTTTGACACTTACCCGCATTTGGCCAAAGTCTCCGGATTGAAACATTTTGAGACTAAGAGTCCTTCTCCTGCTGCCCTTTATTTTGAGACTGGCGGCCCTTTTTCTGCTGCCCTTATCGCCCTTTTGGTGGAGAGAGGCGAGCTTGTAATAAATATTCTACATTTACACATTCCGAGAAATGTTTAGAATCGGAAATGCCCAACCGTCTATTTTGAAAACGTTTGATGTTGAGCCATCCCTTGGTGCCATATAAGAGTCATGTGCTTGTGATCTATAATCGGATTCATGGCTTCATTTGACAGAGGCAGATTCATTACTCGAACGGTCCCCTACATCTGGTGTATCAGAGTTGTTAAAGATTATGGATCCCAGATTTGCCAGAATCCAGAATCATGTTTGGTGTTTGGTCAAATGGCCTTTTGAAGCCAGGTTTCAAATTTTTGCAAACCCTGAGGTTGAATCTTCCGAGAACCATTCTCGTAAACAGCGTTCTGAGATTTACAAAAGCCGATTGAACTACTGTACTCCGTTCTGGTAGCTCAGCTGGCTGGAGCGTCTGTATTCCGACTCACCCATCTATAGAGGTGTGGACTTGAGTCGCTTTAGACGCTCGCTATTTTTTTCTCCAACTGAGATGGGCCGTCGCCACTCGCCGAAGACTGCGGCTGGTGGTAGCCACCGCGGCAAAAGTCAGGTGATGGCAGAGGGCAAGACGAACTGTGTCAAACATAACGGCACGCTAAGCTTTCGCTGTTCATATCTGCCGTTTCTGACCCGGAATTTCACGATCGGATGGTGGGGTCAGGGGTTCAAACAGCAAGCACCATGCTTAGCGTGGGCGCTGATTCCAGAAACTTATCCAACCAAAATGCTCCGATCTGAGAAAGTCCGTACAACTTTCTTGCTGTTGGCGTGAAATGCTTTCAGCTGCTAGAACGTCGTTCGAGACCCCTTAGAATAAACCTGGTTGTCAACGATACTGGATCCTCCTTTACCTTCTCTGGATAATTTAACAAGATTCAGATTCCAGTAGGAGATTTGCCGAAAACAGATCTCACGAGAGCAGGACTTTTGCCCGTTGTTTTTTTAATGCACCTGTATGTGTAAGTTTTGCTGTTCCGCGCCTCACCTCCGGCTCACTGGTACACACAGTACGCTCAAAATCACTTCTGTATTTGACGCTCGTCACAGGCACTCCACACGGTCCGTTCCGCCGGCGTGTCCGTCCTCGCGCCGGCAGCTCTCCGAGTCTTCTCTTTGTTACTACCCCCTCTCCTGACCCTCGCGGCCTGCGTCCCTCGCACGGGGCGCCTGGGACAGGAGGAGGGGAACGCGAGTGCCTCGAAGCGGTTCTCGCCAAACTAAAAAAAAATTCACTGGCTAGCACATAAGTGTTCTCTGACACCTTACATATGCACACATTTCAGAAAATTATTTTTCGTCTATGACATCGCATGGAAGTAACTTGGGATGCGCCAACTAACAAGCAAGTTCAAGGCATGCAATTTGAAAGGAGAAAGGAGGCTGGTGTGTAATTGAATATGTAAAGCGCTTGGTTTCGCGCAACACTGCATGCCATCTTTTCTTGACACCTTTTCCTGCTCCACAATGGAGGGTAATGGGTGCGTTCGATTATGTCGGACGGCAACGCGCAGAAGCCGACACGTGGCGCCACGTTGATTACATGTCCTTCCCGTGCTTAGCGAAAGCGCTTACCATTAGTGCAGAATGGCGAAGGATCAACATTACGTGTCGATTCTGCTCACATGCTCCCTTTGATAAAAAGTGGTGTGCGTCACTGACTTCAATCAGCTGACACATTTCACCTCTCCTCCAATACGCATTACGATGAATTGTTGATGCCTTGAACATCTGCGAGGTCCGTCTCTTGCCGCCCGCCGCCGTTGTGGGTTGGTCGTCGTTGCGTGGGCTGCGATCGTGCCGCACGTGTTGCGTTGATTGCGACTCAGTGATTACCTTTTGAAGACGATCGGATTTTCGACTTGACCTGGGGATCGGTTTTGCGGTAGGTGGGTGGTGGCCGGTGGGCTACCGACAGTGCGTGACAGCACTGGTAATGAACTTGGAATGTTTTGCAAACATTTTCTTGGGTTTGGAAATAGTCTGATCGCGGTGACCCCGCAAATTGGAGCTTGCGTTGCCCTCCGTTAGATGGTGCTGCTTGCAGATGAAACAAATGCATGCTTCATAAGTACCTATCACCTTACTGATGTATGGCACTGTGACTGGTCCTTAAGCATGTTGGTAATAGCTTATTTTGAGTAGCTGCCAAAACAAATTGCCCTGGAAATGCTTGGCATGCCAAGCATGGGTGATCTTCACATGTAGGTGGTGTCACTTGATGCATGCCGCTATATGCTTTGCCACTGTACTTTCATCTGTGTTGGATGCTGTTTTGGCAGACTAAATTTGACTTCCTGGTGAAAATAACATTAACATTATGTTAGCCATGCCATTTGGATTTGGGTGTAGTCTGATGGTAATGACCTTGCAAACTGAAGGCTACATTGCCTTCTAACAGAGATCAATAAGTTCTCCAGGCTGAAGAGATGCAGTGTTCACTCTTCTTTAGTCTGGTATCATTTTACTTTATGTTTCTTAACTGGCCTATAGGAAGCCAGACAAATGATTTCAAATTTTAAGCAATGTTTAATTGTGGTGTGCTAAATTGTACACCCTGTGACTTTGCATCCTATTATTGAAACAAGCATACATGTGCTGAAAACAAATGCTGCTCCATGCTGAAATATCAGTGTATGTTTGTCATGTTCCAGTCTTGTGGGGAATAACTTCCCACACCAAGCTGCCTTTTTGTGAATTGCTTAGAATTGGGTGTAGTCCACAGAAGGACATCTTAGCCTAGTGTGAGATCACTGATGGCTGCTATTTTGCTGATCATGTTGTACCATTCAGCTGTCCCCCAAATAGGCACTTTAACCACCACAGCTACAACTGTGAGACAAATACACTTGCCACTGGTGGGAAAAGAGAGTTGCCTGTCATTTGGGCCACTCTGTGCTTTTAAAAGCTGCCGCATATGGCAGTTCATAGTTCTGTATCCCAATCTAGGCATTATTGTGTGAACAACTTGTCAAATGTTTGCAGCCTGGCCTAGCATAGGCAGGAGTTGGCCAACAATTACACTAGGTACTACAATTGCACCATTTCACTAAAAACAAGACAGGACCTGATTTGGTACAAAACAAACATGACACCAGTGTTGATATGTCTGGGTGCCTCATATACCAATAGTTAAAGTAATAAAGCGATGCTTATGAAGTGATCCCCCGATTTTGCCCCCCCCCCCCCCCAGGCAGCATACCCCTCTCCTTTCAACTGTCACTCTAGGTCCATCCTTGTCTGCAAAACAAGCCTTTGCCTATCACCTGTCAGATTTAAATTTGATTCAAACATGAAGTTGTAAGTTCCAATGCAGTAATCTCACTGTCCAGATTGCATCTGGATGCATGATAATGGCTTGTCCTCTTTGCAGTGATCCAGCCATTGAGGGAAGAAGATAACTGACAGTACCAGGATGGCTAGCCAAGGTAATTATGTTCCTTTTACCTCCCAAGAAGTTGAGATGAGTGAGTGTGCACCAGGATATAATGATAAGCAATGATTAGGGTATAGCCATGAGCAATGATTTCTTGTCTTTCATTGCAAATATCATTTTGTCATTTGGATGATTATTTGCTGTGTAGATGTCAGTGTTTTAGATTTGGCCATTTCAGTAGCAGGGAGGTCAATATGTTTTGTGTTATTACACCTGTCACCCTCCCCAGCTTGGATTCACTGCCTGTTGCCCCTTATTCTGCACAAAATTGGTAAATCAACATCAAACAGAGTGGTGGTCAGCCCAGTTTCAGCCCATTAGTCAACCTCAGGCCTGACTAATAGGCTGGGCATGGGCAGGTTAGATGTCTGAGTTCAGGGTTAAAGGGCAACAGATTAGCACCAACAAAGCATTAACTAGTGACTGAATACTGCTTCCACTTCATTCATTCTAAGATTGAAATTTGCCTGGCCACTGCCTGATGCCTTGTCTTGTTCTGACCAGTGAAGCCCATGGCCTGGGTGACGCTGGCAACGACGGACGCGTACGCGCTGGGTGCGCTCGTGCTGGCCCACTCGCTGCGGCAGGCCTGGCACGGCCCACCAGGTGGTCATCATGGTCACACCGGGTGTCTCACAGCAGATGAGGTGAGGACTGTACAAATCCTTGGAGCCGTGTGTCTGTTGAGAGCAATATGTAGGGGATTTGTTTAGTTTTCGGGTGGCACAGGCGGGGGCGTTTGTTCTGGGTCTCGCGCTGTTGACCCTGGCCTAGTCCGGCGTGACGGGTGCCAACTCGGCATCCTGCACAGGGGGTCACGAGAGGCTGACCAACATTGTAACACAGGTTGTCCAAACATGACTTATCAGACCATTTTGTGAGGGAACTGGCTGTTGTTGCCATATAATGGGAAAAGGCTGTAATTTCGACGATTGTTGTAGAAGTGCCCGCAATTGCAGCGGAGTTTGTACATACATACTCTGTGGTTGAAGCGGTCTCAAAACAAGGTGGATGAATTAATGGGCCTTGACTCATCACTGTTAATCGTTTCCACGTCTGGCGTGCTTTTTGCACTTGACTGTGATGTCGGTAGTCTGTTTTCGTGGACGGCAAAACAGGATCCGTGCCATCCGTCGTACATGCGCTAGCCTTTTGAGAGGCTCAAGGAAGCCTCTGAACAGCTTACCGCGTGTAAACATGTCCCGCCCATCACGCACCGCAGATGGGTGTGGAAACAGAAGATTGCCATACGTCTGCCGGTGTTTAAAGGTGAAATAGAGTGCGCTCCTCGTAATAAGGCGAAGACAATGGCGACCATAGAATGCTCCCATTGCTTTGAAATGCCAAAGACGCGATGGCCAATGCACCTGAAACTGGATAAATATCGTTGATGTGCGCGTATTCGTTGGGTGTCATATCTTAACTGATGAGGTCTGCTAGAAGTGTGTTGCTGAGTTTTTTGGGAGTCGAAAATTATAATTCTTGACCGTTTTCTAAACTTCAAATCAGCCCCCTTCAAGCGCCTAACACTGGACCTTCTGAAGGCCCAACGCGTGACAATAGCACAAATGATGATATTTGGGAAGAGATGTCGCAAATCCCCACACATTTGACTCGGAACTTTCGTCTTGTCGGTTGGCCCAATACCTTTAGCAACGGCTGACAATTTCCAATTAAACTGTCACATAAACTTTGAGATGGTGTTGATATCCATTTTAGGTTCCAATGCATGCGCCTGTATGTGTTACGTGCCCCAAACGTCTCCCACTCTTCGGCAACCTCCTCCGTTGGTCGTCCATCCTGGCTCTTATCTGACCCCGCCTGACCCGTTCCGCCGCCGCGCCGCGCCAGGGCGCAGCTGGCCGGCCCGTTCGACTCCGTCATCGCGGTGGACGTGATGGACTCGGGGGACGCGGCGCACCTGGCGCTGATGGCGCGGCCCGAGCTGGGTGTCACGCTCACCAAGCTTCACTGCTGGACTCTGCGCCAGTTCAGCAAGTGCGTCTTCCTCGATGCCGACTGTCTGGTGAGTGCCGGTCGGGTGTGGCAGCAGTCCTAGCCGGGAACGGTGTGTCGCCGGCAGCCAATGCTGTGAAGAGAAACTGCAGCTTGCGCCCTTTTTAGTTGCGTGGAGTGGACATATGGACTATGAACTGCGTTTTCAGGTCCTGTTCGTATCAGTCACTTACGAATCCAAAGTAAACGTGGCTTGAGTCCGGTCCCAGCTTTCATCCGGGTACTTTCTAAATTTGACGAAGTGGTGGATTTGGTGAACCTCTCCACCGGTGTACAATCGCTGGTGTGTGAGCAACGAATGCATGAGTGGGGCGACGTCTGTGGCCGCTCGTGCGGTGGGTGGAGGGCGGCCGGGTCTACCGCGGCGTGTCCCTTGGAGAATTACAGGCGAGGGGACCCATGTATTTGCGCGTACTGGAGGTCACTGACATGTATGTCGTGACGTGCCACGCCCGTGGTAAGCTCACGGTATGACTCGGTGGAGAGACCACTTCACACTCGTCCCAATCTTAAACATCGCCAGCTCACAGCTTGCCCAAGGCCGTGTCGAGTCTGCGCCGGTGGAATTAGCTCAACGAATGCGGGCTGGTATCCTTTGTCATCTAAATACCAGACTTTTTTGTTGCCCTTCGCCTGCAGTTCGTCATCGCTGCATGTTTTGAATTAGGTGAGCGGCTCCCGGAACTTATGAATAATAGCCTTGCTGGAAACAGTAGCGGGCTTTTCGGCTGTGAAATGGGTGCTCCGCCGTTGACCCGTCATGAACAGATCGGCGTGTAGGCACGCGTTACCCATTGGAATAGCGATGCTCTCACCGCGCTCCATGCCTGGTGCTCTGGCGGCTGCCGAGCCGCGCCACTCTCCCGTGCTGCTAATCGGGCGTCGCGTCGGTACTCTGTTACCTCGGCTGTTACCCGGCGTCGACGCCCCCCACCCGTGCTGCTGGGCCCGTCTGTTCAACTGCGCTCCGCCGTGGCGCTCTGGTGGCGGGTCACCCCGCCCCGTCAACCCTGTCCCCACAGCTGGCGCGGCCGCTCCGCCGGCGGAAACACGTGATCGTTGTCATCGCGAGCGGCCCGCCAGCTGTGGCAAGAGAAACTTCGCTGGAGGAGCCCGGAGTCTTAGTCAGCATATGCGCCTTTCCCACACCGGTCGGCTTATTGTTTCAAGGTTGGCCAGCTTTTGTGCTTTCGACTTAAGGTGCGTACGAAACGGGACACGAATGAGGAATTGTAGTTTGATTTAATGCAAATTGCCTGCTGCTTGTCCTGTGCCCTTGAACCGTTCTTGTTCTTTGGGCGCGAAGTGCCAAAAGGCACACAAACCACACAATATACACAGTAGTGTGCGGATGGTTTAAAGAGGTGCGATCCGCGATCTTTGACGGGCCTGGAGCCGCACAGTGCCAGATACCGTTTACTGCAGGACCAGTAGCCCTGAAATCGAAGGAACAGAAACAAAAAAAAAACAAAAAAACAAAAAAAAAGAACAGGAATCGAAGGAACAGAAAGAACAGAACAGAACAGAAAGGAAGCTCGATAAGCAGGGACCCAATGAACAGTCGTTACCCGATGGTGTGTAAATAAGTAAAGGCACCGTAGGCTGTAGAAGTGTCTGGTTACCAGAGGTATCTTATTACTGGACGCGGTATCTGGGACACTACAGTACGATGTCCCAGAAAACCGGTTAACCAAATAATCAAAATGAAGTTAGTTTTGTACCTCTCACTGCCAAGGACGGTGCCGACACGCATCCAGTCGAGTGGGCTTCTTCATTGGCGCTCGCTTCGCCCATTTGACTGAATGACTGGCGTCATAACCCTGAGGCGGGCTATTCGGGACCGGGCACGTACTCTGGCAGTGGTTGATCAACTGAGTCGGTCGCGTGACCTTGACTCGGTGCCAGGGCGATGGCAGAACGGCCAACCGGGCCACAACAGACCTGGATATTTATAACACGTGCCGGGTGGGACTCTGCCGCGTCGATCGCACCCGATAACAAACACTGGGGCGGACAGGCGCGCTGGGTATTCGAACCTTGCAGAACGTTCGTCCTTGAGCTGTTTTTGTGGTGGTTTGATAGTGGCTCTGTTGGCTGCCGGGTGCCACAAGTGACCTTGTGGTCTGGTCACTGCCTTTGAACCATCTAAAGCGTATGCGCTACCTTGTTGTAGTTGCTACCGCTTATTGGTCCTGATTTTATGAAATGTGTCCTTTGAACCGTAAGATACCACGTGTTACGAACAGTCACTAGCGACGCGGCGTGCGGCCGCAGTGTCCTGCCCTGAAGGTCTGCTGGCGGAGACGCTGGGTCCTCCACCCCCCCCCCCCCCCCCTCCCTCCGCCCTCTCCGTCCGCTGGGGCCAGCCTCAGGCCTGGCGTCTGTCTAGACGTCCAGGGCCGGCCGGAGCGAGGCCACGCGGAGCGGAAGCGATGGGGCACGTCAGACGCGGCGCTCGACTCCACCGCCGTGCGGACCGGGAGGCCTGGGGTACTGTCTTGTGGGAGTGGTGGAGCGACGTACACGCCGTAGAGATAGGTGGAGCGACTTACACGCCGTCCTTCCCACCACTATGACTGGACGGAACCGCCGATGCAATGCTGTAAACCCAGCGCGCGTTTCGTGTTCATGCTGCACCACTTCGACGCATTTATATCAGCGGCGTGCTGGGACATCTGAACTCTGTCTGGTGTAACAGTCCTCTTTGGTACAAACATGAAAAATATGAACTGAAGGCATGCTGGTGGTGGCGCATCTGATCGCAGGGACCAGCTAAACCGGTTTGGGCCCGTCTAGCGACGCTTCGGGGTTTCTGAACGTGGAAGGACGACCGTATTCGGCCCGCTTTTGCCCGACGGATCTTATTTGGTGCTTGAGCGCGGCGCGGACAAAAAATGGACGTGCTTTCCCCTCATCCATTTACATTACGTGGTACATTACGTCAACAGACATTGATAAGAAAGGAAGTTCTGTTGTGCATTTCGGTTAACAGGGCTTGCTGCATAACCGTTGCTCCAGTTTAAGTACGGTCCGACGCTAAACAAAGTACCCAAGCCCTAAAATGCTAACCGGACGAACAAGGCTCCACGGTGAGCGTGTTTCCCGGCCCCGCGAACGACAGCCAAACCCAGGAAATGGCGCACGATTTCTTGAGGCGTTACCCGGCCTGAGAAATTACGCAGCAGTTTGGCAGGGGCGGGCGCAGTCTGTGATTGTCCTATCTCGGCCGGCCGGGTTGACTAGACCCAGCTCCTTCCCCGACGGGCGCCAGCCAGCCCGCTCCAAACAATGGCCCGATTGGCCGAGCCGGGGGCTGTGCCGCCATACACGGCGCCGCGTGCCTGGTACTGGACGCTCGGGGCGCCGGCCGGTCAGCCGGCCAGGCCGAGGAACGGGCCGCCACCCGCTTGTGCTGCTGTCGGCCTCTGGTCAGGTGCGCCGATCCGACAGTGGAGCCGACATCTGCCCGGTGATATCGCGGCCGTGTCGGAAGCTCGAGCTCACCGCGCGCCGCGTGCAGCCCTCGTCAGCCCCTCCCCCCCCCCCCCCCCTGATCGAACGCCGCTGTTGAACTCGGCAGGACGGCGTCGACAGGGCGCCTATCCCCCTCCCCCCTCCCCCTGACCGTCCGCAGCGAACGCACGCGGCGACTTATGTCACACGGTGTGAACGACAGAGTATGATGGCGCACGGCCGCTTGTGTGTATAGCATTCGCTGGTCGTCGTTCGTTGGTGCAATGTACTCGGAATGTGGCTGGCAATGCCATGCCACGTGTCGCTCATGATCAATGTGGGTCGTTGTGTGAATAAACCTGTCATTGACACTTGAAACGTAAACACACGCGTCCTTCGCCCGGGCGTTTGAGGTAATTCGTCATGAGGCAATGTTATGTGCTCGAGGCTAGGCTCCTAGCCGGGCGTCAGTAGACATGGGAAGTGGAAGAATGCTTGTCATGTCGTTGTTCCATCTACGATGCCACTGCAAATGTGTTACATGGAATGGCCGGAACTTGCGGGCACTGTCAGATCTCAGGTATTTGGTTGCATGCATGTTAGGGTGAGTTGGATGCTAAAAGTATGCAGCCACGTCTCTAAAAATACTACAAACGGGCCATACATCAGCCCTAGTTTCTTTCTCATTATATAACGTGCCTGTGCCAGCCTTCGTCCACAGGGCGCGCGTAAAGGCTAGCACTCACCGCCTGCGGCAAAAGTCCCGGGGTGGTGAGCGGACGGTTCGATTTCTCCTGGATCGGGGGCGGCTGACGCGCCGCTGGCCGCGTGCCAGCCGGCCGTTTGGCAGGGCGCGGCTCGGCTGCGGCGCGGGCCGCCTTCTGCCAGCGGCCCGTATCATCGCCGATCGGGTTAGGTCACCGGTACGACCCGTGCCGGTCTGCGCTTCCCGTCACCAAACCCTGCTGTCGTGATGGCGAGCCGGCTGACTTCGAGACCCTCTCCGGCTGGTGCGGAACTGGGCGCAACTCGGTCGGAAGTTTGATTACTTCGTGAGGAGTCGTGTCCCTCGGGGTGTCCGGACTGTGATCAGAGGGTGCGGAGCGCCATGATCCGACGGCTGGCGATGGCTGGCTGACTCACGGACCAGCGACGGGTCGCCCGCCGCGTCACTCCGCGTCACCCGACGTGGATCGCGAAGCCACACGGAGTCTGTCTGGCCGCCGTCCCATCAGTCACGTCCGCGCCCGTCATCGGCGCGCCGGCTGACCCGGGTGGACCGACGGCCGCGCGTCAGGCGGGCCGCGGCGCCCCCAGGAAAGGGTCGCTGCCGAAGGTCACCGGGCACGTGCCGGGTCGGCACCAGTCCCTGGCACGTGCCGTTGTCCGAGGGTGGCCCGCCCTAGCGAGAGTACGGAGCTCGCGACGATTTCTTGCTGCCGCGGGGAAACGGCGTCGCTGGGGTGGTGATGGGCATAGGGCAGGAGGGGGGGGGGGGGGGGGACATGTCCCGTGATTCCCTCCAACTTAGATGGTGATCTGTAACGCCCATGTCATTGAGGTTGGCGAAGGCTTTATCCCTTGGCCCAACTGGCTAATTTCTAATGCTTGCTTTGTACATTGGGGACTTCATGTCCGTCGTGCCTGCTCAGTGAGCTGACTTGCCGGTTGCCTGCAGACAGGATATAATTAACGCGTATCATAGTCGTGCGCTTACCTTATTCACTGCTGGCTGTAAGCCCTCTCACATTCCCACGAACACCGTGTCGTGCGCGACAGCCGATGAGTCGGTCACGTCTACATTGGAGGGCCGCCCCCTGCTGACATGTGAACACCTCGCGTCATGATGCTCCAGAGCGCCGGACTGCTGCGCGTTGGATCAGTTCTGTTGAAAATGTAAATGGGATTTGGTCATCCCAGCCACCCTTGGCGGCCAAACGCGGTCACGAGCTTGAGGTTTGCTTCACATCAATGCGTCACCAATTGAACAGAGAAGTGTGGCCGGGCGCGTCCTCTCAAGTGAGCCCGGAGCCCCACGTGAGCCGATTCACTGGACCCCGCCCTCCACGTGCCCATCACTGTTTCCTGACCCCGGGTCGCAGGTGATGACCAACTGTGACGAGCTGTTTGAGCGCGAGGAGCTGTCGGCGGCGCCCGACATCGGCTGGCCCGACTGCTTCAACTCGGGCGTCTTCGTCTTCACCCCCAGCGACGACACGTTCAACGCGCTCGTCAGACTCGCCGCCGAAACGGGCAGCTTCGACGGTTGGTGCGCTCGTCGCCTGGGATTGTCTGGGAGCTGGCGTGGCGGACAATGCCGTGTTTTCTTTGGAAAGGAATCTTGCTTTGCTGGCGTCAATAACTTAATCTTGCCGCGTGCTCGCTTAAGATCAGGTGCACGTATTTGTCTGTTGTAAATACGCACGTTTAGTTGATGCAAACATCAATTCCCACGGTAGTCTATATCTTTGTTTGACGAACGCACGTTTCAAGCTCAGATGTACGACGTTTGAAATTCATCGCGTCGAGCGCCTTGTGTGCAGTTTTCGCGTATCACACCTCTGAGTCAGTAGCGGTTTCGCAGAGCCGTGTGCGTGTGTCACGCCGTCTCGAGCCTCACAGGCCATTCAATGGCCCTGAGACGCGGACGACTACCGTTTTCGTCTGGCATCGGCAGGCGGCGATCAGGGTCTGCTCAACACGTACTTCTCCGACTGGTCAACTCGTGACATCGGCCGCCACTTGCCGTTCCTGTACAACATGACGGCCAGCGCCGCCTACACCTACCTGCCCGCCTTCCGGAGGTCAGGATGCGACAGGCGCACCGCCCGCCGTCCACAGCCAGGAGGCCACCGGCGCCGCTACCACTGGGCCACGCTAGCCTGCGAGATGGCCCTTTGTTATTATCGATCAACGCGTGTGAATTGGGTTGTCATTGGCGTCGCTTCTGCGTGTTGGTGGTGCGGGAGAAATGTGTCGTGGGTTGTCCTGCTGTGGCCTGGCGCGAAGCGTTCCCGTGGCCTGTCGCCGTGCGTCTCGTGACCTGGGACCTGCCAGCCCCCGTGACCTGACTCGCTCCCCGTGACCTGTCGCCGTGCGTCTCGTGACCTGGGACCTGCCAGCCCCCGTGACCTGACTCGCTCCCCGTGGCCTGTCGCCGTGCGTCTCGTGACCTGGGACCTGCCAGCCCCCGTGACCTGACTCGCTCCCCGTGGTCTGTCGCCGTGCGTCTCGTGCCTGGGACCTGCCGGCGCCGTGACCCGACTGACTCCCCGTGGCCTGTCGCCGTGACTGTCGTCGGCCCGCGCAGGTTCGGCCGCGACGTCAAGATCGTGCACTTCCTGGGCGCGCACAAACCGTGGACGTCGCCAGAGCACGCCGACCCCGGCTCGCCGACTGGCCGCTTCCACTGCGCCTGGTGGGACGTGTACCACGGTCACGTGCGACCCGCCGCGCCGCAGTTCGTGGTGAGTGCGGCCGCGGCGCCGGCGGCCGGCGCCCACCTCACGTGCGACTGGAAGGCGATGGGTTCGGGGATGGGCCCGGGCTGGAATATTGTGGGGCCGGAGCTTAGTATGGATATATCGGGCGGATGCTACTCTGAAATTGGTTTGGTAGGTGTTTTAGTTCCCTGTGGGCAAGCTAATTTGCGTGCGGTTTTATTGTTGTGAACGCTTCCATGAGGCTCTTGATTTCACGGAGCGAAGCTCAGTCGTGGCAGAGCACCGCTTTATGGTATATCCACCAGCCAATCACTGTGCCAGGATGGCAGTAATGGCAATAGGGCAGATAGGTGTCCGAAACAGTCCAAAAACTACCGTTCCTCGACTATTTATGGTGAGTTGTTTTTGGGTGGCTTTGCTTGTTACTGGTGGAATAACAATTGCATTGCAGTGTATCGCGTGTTGGTTATTGCAGTGCATTTTACGGTATGAAATCTCCTGTATGCTGAGATGGTTTGGTTTTGATTTTGTTTTGTTTCCGCACTAATCACGTGACGCCTGACTGACCAATACCTGACTGGAACATAGACGATATAGTGCTGCACCTAGTCAGACCGCATCACCGACGGCCGATTGGCTGAGTGTCCGCCTGGGCAGGTATTGGTCAGCAGTTCTCCCGTTACATGCTCCGCTCGTGGCCGCCACAAACCGAACACCCTGATTTTGGTCCGTTCTCTCGGGAAATATCACCGGCACACGTTACACCCCGACTCAGCGGGACTCCTGGGGGAAAGGAGGGACACATTTGGGCCCCCTGACTTCGGACGCCTGTGGCAAGCTGCCGGCCTCTCTTCATCGTTCCCCGTCAGCTGCGTTGGCGGACGATCGGGGGCCGTACTGTGACCACTTACTGTCTTTCTCTCTCTCCTCCCCGCTGCGCGCTCCCAGCGGACGTCGGCGCAGCGCTCTCCTCAGGTACACTCTGCGCATGCGCCGGCCTGGCCTGAGGCGTCGCCGCCAGCGTCGGCCAGTGAGGGCGCGGACCGTGTGAGCTTGGGTCGGGGCGGGGACGCGTACGAGTTCGGGGGCGGGGGGCGAGGGTCCGGATGGCGCCGGCGACTCGTCGGAGCCGCTGTTCATCACACCCACGCCCACTGCCAGCTCCGCCGCCTCCTCCTTTGTGCACGTGCTCAGCCCGTTCTCAGAGGACGGCTCCTCGTTCGCGCACCTGTCCTCGCCGGGTTCCGCGCCGCACTCCAGCCCCAGTCCCTCGGCGATTCCGGGTAGTCCCGAGCCCACCGCGAATCCGGGGAATCCCGGGAACCAGGGAGGCCCCGCGCCTGCCGGAGACCAGGCGAGCCCCGATGCTGCGGAGACCCCGGAGGCCCGCAAGCCCCCCGCCGCCGTGGACGTGGCGCAGGCGGCCGCCGAGCTGTCGGCCTCGAGCCGGCGCCGCTGGGAGGAAGGCCGCATGGACTACACGGGCGCCGACCGGTTTGACAATGTGTGGCGCCGCATCTCGGCCAGCCTGGAGCGGGCTCCGGCCGCCGCCGCCGGGCCGCCGCAGCCGCACCAGCCCGCACACTGGGCCCACGTGAGTCTCCCGCTCACCCGCCCCCACCCCCCACCCGTCGGGGAGCATGGCCGAACGCCCGCTTGGACTGGGGACCGCGCTGGACCGGGCTCGGGTAGAGGCGTCGTCCTTTGTGGATGTGGCAACGCACACACGCTCGCACCCGCCGCGCCCTGCCGCCCCGTCACGCCCTCCGCCACCGCCACCGCCACCGCCATCCTCTGCGCCTCCGCGCGGCGACGCGGTCTTAACCCGCGCTGTGGTCGGGTCGCACCGGGGCGGTGCCCGCTGTCGCTGCTGTCGCCCACTCCCGCCAGCTGAACGGCCTTGTCTGTCTGGCGGCCGCTGGCGTGGCTTGCGGATGCGCCGGCAGTGTGCCTGCTGGTGAGGGAGGAGCCGGTCACCTCTAGCGCTGACGCTGTGCGAGGCTGACAGTGTACCCTGCTCCCTACAGTAGCCGCAAGCGATGTTAGCGCCTCCGGCCCGCACCCGTCCACACCGCACGCCGGCACTGGCGTGTGACCTCTGGCCGCGCTGTCCCGCCTACTGGCGTCCGCGTCGGGGGCCGAGGGCTGCACGCACCGCTCGGGGAGGCTGGCGGTCACAGTCGGCCGTTGGAGTTGGGCGTCAGTCACAGGGGAGGGCCCGGCCGCGTGCGGTAGTTTGCCGGGAGTGCGCGGCGGACCGTGCAGTAACCGCACCCGGGCCCGGCTTACTAACGGTGGCGTGCGTCTGTCGTGTAGCCGTCTAACCGCTAACACGCCCGTCCTTACATTCAAGGTCAGTGTCGGCTCGGAAGACGGCAAGCCTGTAGACTCGGCAACCGTAAGTGGCTGCGTAGCGGGCGGGAGTGGTGTGTGCGGGCGGGACGATGCCGTAGCCGGTGGTGGCGGTTGTGCGCACTGCGTAGAGAAGAGGACCGCTCCCGTTGGTGAACACTGCGGGTGCAGGGCAGAGCTTGCTGGCCTAGGCAGTAGCAGCCTGGTCGGGGCACTACCGCCATCTGTTGTCTGTCGCATGTACATCAGCTTCGGGTGGCGCTGGCGATTAACGCTGATGCGAACTGCGCCTGTCGCCTGTCGGGGTTCGCTGGTCGTCTGCCTGCTCCCGCCACGCCCGGCTGTCATGTCCTTCAACAGTGAGCCGCTATTGGGTCTCAAGACGTTGCGGTGTTTGGTGTAGTGCGCCATATGCGCGAAAATAGTGGGTTGCTGTCTCAAAATGTGCTTTCATACGCATCTGGAAACGTGAAAAGTCACCCCTGATAGAATTGCGTAAACTTATGTAGTGTTGTAATGCCGTTGGAAGCTGGTGCCTGCCATTTAAAAGGTGGAAAGGCATGCGTCTATTTCTGTGTTGTACTTTATGTAGCAGGTGGATAGCCCTTGTTACCAAGTGACCAATAGTTGTAGCTATTGCTAAAACGTGTACACTAGAGCCCGGATATTCACATCATGCACTCAATGTGATGAGGTAGCCATCCGCTTCCGTATGACTTGAATGGACCGTGCCTGGCCCGTCCCTTTTGGTGATGGTGCTCAAACTCCTGCACAACTTGACCCCTGAAACCCGGGGCCAGAACCGATTTCTGGCTGGGCCTCCGTGAGCGCCGGCCACAACTGCGTCTGTTCATGTCGCCGCCAGAGCGAGCTGGTGAGCGGCATGGGCCGGCTGCAGATGTCGCCACCGTCGGCGGACGAGGCCGCGCGTCGCGGCGCTTGGGAGCGTGGCCAGATGGACTACATGGGCTCCGACAGCTTCGAGAACATCCTCAACAAGATCAACCATACGCTGTCGAACAAGTAGCGGGCGCGCCGCTCCCCTGTAGGTCGCACTCCGCGGCGGTTCGTGGCCGGCGCGGTCAGAAGATCTTCCGTTGTAGTGGTTTAGTCGCGCTCCGTCTCCGCGCTCTCCCCCTCCCCCTTGCGTGGTGTGGTTGGCTGCTTTGTCTCAGTGAAGGCGTTTGATCACAACTCCTGCCGTTTTCCGCCGGAATCTCGCCCACTGGTTTTCGCGTCCCCACCGACACTGAAGTATCGCCCTCGCGTTAAGACGGCGCGACGTGTAGCGTGGGCCCTCCGTCGACTCGCGGCGACCGCGGTGCGGCCTGGGTTTCGCCCTGGCGCATCGTTAGGAATAATCTGTCTCGGCGTTGGAAGACGTTGTTAGAATCGACTGTCGTTGGTTCGTGTGCCATGTTATAGGGTCTGTGAGGCCGCAGTGCCGCTTCCGGCCCAACTCAGGAGTTACCAGTGGGCTGGGGGGTAGACGCGTCGTGCTGTGTTTCTGGGGCTGCCCTCCGGTCGCGCTGGTCGAAACGGCGCCTAACCCAAACGTTGCGGTCACTGGTCCGTCGGTCTGTCCTCGCTGCTGTCACACGAAGCCCAACCATAAGCATCGTTCCCAAGGTCTGGTGGCCGCGCGGAAACGCTGTTGGCACCTGCCGCACCGAGCCGTGCAATAGAGGAGCGGCCGTCAGCCAGACGGCGAGCCCGTGGCGTGCCCCGTAGCGTGCCGTGCCGGTGGTGAAGTCTCGGGGGCGGCCGGGGCGCGCGGCCGCTCGCGAGGCGCTGGCGGCGCGGCGCAGGCGACGGCGGTCCGTCGTTCGCGCCCGCCAGCGCCGGCGGCGGTCCGTCGCTCGCGCCCGCCAGTGCCGGCGGCGGTCCATCGCTCGCGCCCGCCAGCGCCGGCGGCGGTCCGTCGCTCGCGCCCGCCAGCGCCGGGGTGGTCCGTCGCTCGCGCCCGCCAGTGCCGGCGGCGGTCCGTCGCTCGCGCCCGCCAGCCCCGGCGGCGGTCCGTCGCTCGCGCCCGCCAACGCCGGCGGCGGATTGTTAATGCTTTTGTACGCGCTAATTATGTTTTATAAAACCTTTCTATTAACCGAGTGAAATATATTGAAGAAGGCTTGACTCCCTGACTTTCAGGAGGGGCTAGTGATGCTCCGGCGCGTTGGCCGTGAATTGGGCCACGGGCGTCGAGCCATTGGTACGATCGCTCGCGGAAGGTCATTACGCAGTAGACGAAGTGTGTACTTGCCAGTGGAAGAGAAAACGGTTCTGTTCGAAGGGCTGAGAAGTTGGAATCACGAACCAAGCGGAGTCTTGTACGATGTAGAAACTCAACACTGCGCAAATGCGGAGCAGAGGCCGTGAATATTGGAAGTAAAGGCGTCTGGATATGTCAGCCTGGGTAATGAGCCGCTCAAAAACCGTGGGAATGCAAAATGTGTCGTTCGATTTTAAATTGTGCAGGTAACAGAGATCGATCATATTGCAGTCTGTGGGCCCCGTCTAGGTCCGTGATGATTCTCGGACAGTGCAACATATCTGTCCCTGTGGTAGATATGACAATGTAGATGCCGTCTTTTCCGTTGTTTTAAGTCCTCCAGCGTCATTCGGCTTTTACATAGAACGGTACCAGCTGCTTAAGGGATTGGACCCACAAGAGTTTTCAAGCTTTTTTTTTAGAACGGACTGAAGCTAATCAAAGGGCAGTCTGTTACCTCGTTTCTAAAACGGGCAGCTTAGAGATCGCCGCGTCTGTGCTTTGTCTTCTGCCCTAATGTTATTAACTGGAACACTGCCATAACATCAGTGGCTCGCTCTCTCCCGTTACATTCACGCCAATGCTAACACTTGCAGCATTAATGTGGCGCGAACAGAAAGCTGCCGACTGGAAGATACGCCCAGTGAATAGGAATAGTAGCTTTGCTGCGGCCTTATACGTTTAGCTCGAATGATCTTTCTTTCGGTAAGCCTAGTCCTGTGAACGTGATCTTTGCCGAACCACAATCGTGAAAAAATGTGTTCGGTACTTTGTGGCTGAGTTTCGTCGCTGCACTATAATGTGGGCATCATCCACCGTCGCACTAACCGCCTTTATGTGCTGTCGAGTGGGGCGTTTTGCCACCGTTGCCTTACACGCGTTGGTTAGCCGTGGGTGTTGCACGAGGTCGCATCGGCGGTTTGTGCCCCCACCGTGACCAAGCGTGACGTGTTATGGCTGTCCTTCATTTCATTTGATAATTATCTGACTCATGTGATCTCAATGCGACGCTTCTAGGTGAACGGTGTGGGTACCTCGTGACATACCGGCTGCGAGCACATTGCAGGTGTACTATTACGTTGCGTCTGCTGCCCATTGCTGCACACGACATTTGTCTGTCGTTGCCACCCCGGGCGGTGCTAGTCCCGACTTCAGCAACTCCGTTCCACGTCAGTAGCACCCTCTCCCCTCATACCCTCATCCCATCCCATCCGGCGGTACTCCCACGCCCCCCCCCCCCCCCTCTCGTGCTGCCCAGATCTCTGGCCGCCCGACAGCCCCGCCGACCAGACCCGCCACCGACGCGTGGTCCGGGCTCAGCTGGCGAGCTCGGTTGCCATGGCGACTGGTATCGACCGCCGGCGCCCTGGAAGGCGGACGAGGTGCCAGCAGACCGCCACGGGCGCAATTTGGGCCGGAGAAAATTCGGGGGTGCAGCGGTAGCGGACGGGGCCGCGGGTCCCTGAGAGGAGAGGTGCTGGACGGCTGCGCTGGCATAGACACCATGCTGAAAAGTGAGTCCTGCAGGCCGCCGTGGCGGCGTCCGTTGCGTGAGAGGCGTGGGATGACGCTCGGCTAATGACATGAATGAACGTGGGCACGTGATGTACTGTGCGGGATGATCCCGTATCATATGAGGTGATTTATTTGGGATTTCTGTAAACATTTTCCGGCTTTTCTCACGGATGCTTATACGTGAAATGTTAATAGATGCCGTTCAGTGTTCAAAATGTAGCATCTTATCCCATATATTGATCCAGAATGACCCAATTGGATTTACCGCGTGATAGAATAATTCTTGGTCAGATTATGCATTGGCTTGAATAAGCTCTCTGAACGACGATATTTAGTAAGTTGTGTTTTTAATAAGCCTGTTCGAGGCTTTTCTTGACATTTTTGCGGGTGACCCTCACGCGACTTGAATGGCTTGCAATGCAATTAAGCTGTGCCTATGTGCGCTATGCATGTAATATCTTTATGGACCTGCTGCTTCGAGGGCTCATTGCGTGAAATTTCTACATGCATGAAGACACGTGTTTAGTGAGGTAGTGAGGAAGTTCTCAACTTGAACGGCCGCGTGCCGCCCGCCCGTGGGTAACATCCATAGTTATCCATCGACTGCAGCCTCGCGTAGTCTTTACGTACAAAAAAGTTGTTACTTAAAGCTGTTAAAGCTGTTAAAAAGTTATTTAAAAGCTGGATTGTTGGATATCGGGAGCATTCACAAAGAGGCTGCTCGGACTGTGTGACTTTTCCGCCGCATCGGAATATGAGCGAAATATAATCCAACCCATTCTATTAATGCGAGAAAATTGCCTTTCCCACTTGCGAAAAAGATCTCGGGCTGAGGCCTGACCCTTCCCGACCACTCCGCATCGCAGTATCACTATGTCACAGCGTCGTTTTTTACGGGAGAGAGAACTGACTACCGTACTGGCCGAAGTGTGGATCGATTGGTGCAGTCGGTCATGCGCTCTCAAGCGCAAACCGGGGATTTTGTCATTTTGGGGCGTTTTCAGCAGTGATGTCAGATCTCACTCCACGCAGCCAGAACAGGTAAAGTCGTGCAACCGACGCGCAGTGTAAGCGTTGCACCGTTCGCTGGTTACTACGGTATCTCAGTATTGTCAGACTCGTAGGCGTGCGGGTAATACAGCGAGACGCGGCCCAGCGAGACGCGGCCAAATCACTATTACCGAGAGCGGTCTCGAGTAGAGGAGAGCAGCGGAAATTGCAGCAGTTTTTTTTTTGGCTCTCTCCTATCATTACTACTGGAGTATAGGTTGTGATTAGTATGGGGACTAAGATTCGTATGTCTGAAGACAGCCATAATAATACACTACTACATAACCACTGCATGTGGAGTAACCATACCATAACCATCACCGTAACCACGATATCTGTAGAAGAAAAGTTATTGAAAGCACGTTTTTTACAATGGATTCTGAATAACACCCTATTGGATGGTATCATCTGCCCCACCCTGGGCAGGCCCCACCCACAAATTGCATCGCATAGTTGGGGAAGTTGCATCGATTTATTTTTGCGTTGAGTAAATGGCGTCGCAAGCAAGCTGAATGCGTTACGATTTACAAACAGAAAATGCTCGTCCATGCTTTTCCGTAATTCATCGTGATTGTGACATGCAATTTTCCCCTTTTTGATCCGTCAGTGTTTTCTTTTTAACTGCTGCCACCTCGGTTCTGGTTGATCTGATATTAATTATGGAGGTACCTAGGCCTTGTAAATAAATGTCGACTTTCTCTCTGAATGGCATTAAGTCATGACAATAATGTCAGTCAGTCACTGACAGTAAGCCAGTCGATGGCATCCTCGTCGGCATCGATACGCTGCAGCACTGATACAACATGCCCCATCCAGCTGATACACGTACCGCCCAAGTGGGAAGAAAGTCCACGCCACTCCGAAATCAGTGGCTAACAGACGCGAAATATTTACAGCACGTGCAGCACGTGCTTCACACCACTCAGTACAGTGTTCAGATTGGTGTGGTTATGCCGCAAGACATTTACGAATGATCAATAAACAGCCAAAGCGCCTACTTTTTCGAACTGCTATGGTCGCGTTCAGCGGGCACACAAATGATAGCACATTGATCTGCTTGGTGGATTGGCATTGTGCCTGTGCATACTGATGGGCGACCAACTTCAAGCAATATGGAAAGTGCAAATAGCTCGCGCACATATCAGCTAACCTCCGCCTGCTAAACTATCATGAATGGTGACGTTTGGATGGTATTAATCAAACGCCTTGTGAGGTTTTTTAAATGTCTATATGGCGCATAATGTTAGGTTTTGTATCGTCCGCATGATAACTGAAACCTGTCATATTATCTTGTCGCATAATCACCCTGCAGCAGTCTTATGCTCGCGTATGTCCTGATTTTCCCTCGCGTGTTACGCGTACCTCCCCACATCAAATTTGTTACATGTTTTATGACGTGCGTGAATAAATTTTGACACTTTAATTTCGAGTTCGACTCTTAAAAGTTAACCTGCGCTCGCGGGGTTCTGAGACGACCGCGCCTGGTAGGGGAAGTCGACTTCCCCCGGGATCTTCAACATGCAGATGCTGTGTGAGAAAAACAAAGATGCCGCTGTGGAGGCCTCGTCAGCCACACTGTACTTAATCAATGGGACGTGCCACAGCCAGGGTCAGAATAAGCGTTAAGACTATGGGGAGCCCATTCCGACCATTTCTGTTCCTCCACAAGGATCAGATCAGATCAGGTCATCGTTCAAAATTGGTCTGCCAGTAACGTACAAGAACGATGCCTCTTCATAATGTGCTTCCGACTAAGTCTATTTTATTAGGTGCAGCTGTGGAAACAACATATTCCGGACACCAAAATGCCATTTTAGGCTGACCTAGACGTCAGCTGAGAGCAACCTAGGTCAAATTAGTAAACAAGTCAATTGAAAAAATGGAGTGGTAACGGGGTCTATGTGACCAGTACAATGCTTTTCTGCGGTCAGAAATAGTGTGTTATAAATATGCAGGTACGTACATACGCGATAGATATACCTGGTCCCTTCCACGCTTGGCAATGCATTTGCAACCAACTAAAAACAAACACATCGGTGCATGAAAGTATGCGTCATCAGTTTTACAAGCACGATAAGGAGGTGGTTACGCGCGTCGCGCTCGTTCATCCAGCCTCTCCGCTTCTGGCAACATAGCTCATTGACTTTGGATGAGCTCATACGGCCTTGCGTGTCTTTACGTGACCTGCCAGGATCTCATCATGGGTTAAAATGACATCACAACATGTTTTTAATGGAGTATTCTTATTCTGCGTCCAAAAATCACGTCATTAAAGTGACCTTTTAGGCCCAGCATTGGTTTGTAGAAGGCACCTGCGAGGTAGGTCATGATCTGGTCGATGTCATGTGCTCTGTGGTCATATGAGGATGAGATAAAGGCCTGGCGACGTTTTTGAAATTGTATGGTGCGTCCTTTGATAAAGTAGCCTGCTTTTAATCCCCACGTACCTCGTAATCTGTCGTCAGCGTTCACATATTTCTTTGCTAGCGCTAAATTGACAGCATTTTACGAGTGCTTCGGGAATTTGGTTTCGCCTGGCACTATGAACATTTCAAACGGAATGTTTGGGTTGCCGAGATGAGCAGTATCTGCCTGAGTGTGGAGGCTAGGCGGAAGGTTTTGTTGCAGTAACACAGCGCAAAGTTACTCTGACCTCACTTTTTCCAATTTTCTCATTTATACGCATGCCGTCAGAGCAAGGAATAAATAGGTCGCTAATGAAATACATACATTGGTTACCACGACCTTGTTTAACGGTTGTGCGGTAAACAAAGTGTTGTTCGAGATCCCCACTGGTTCTGACGACATTTTCGTGACGCTGTGTTTATCGTCGCAGAACTCATTAACATTAGGCAAGAATGGAATCGAGTAGGCAGAATTTGCTGCCCTTTTACCTATTTGCTGCTTTTTCGTTTTGTTTTTCCCTACAGCAGTATGCGAAAGACATTGAGCGTAGACCGTCTAGTGCAGTCCAGTCATCTTTCAAAGGTATTAAGCACCATAACTAAGCAAATTGCACACTGTCGGCGAGGGCATCCGTGTCGATCATCTCGAGTCATCGATGCGTGGTTTACAGTTACCGTGCGATGACGTGTTGCATTCATTATGCCCCAAGCGAATCTAGATATGACGCTGTGCAGTTTTTGAACATGCTGTGGTGGTGCATTTAGGAATGTCATAAAAATATATATCAATTTCAAAAGGAGGAGTGTCTGTACAATGCATATCTTCCTAATTGGATGGCGGCCCTTAAAAGAATAAGGTCACAGCAAGACATACACAGACACACAAACACGGCATGCATGCACACATAAATACGCAGCGTGCATGTACGTCATCCGGCAGCGTGGACAGCTTGAGCCATAAGTTATCACTGCACCATTGCTGACAGCTTGAGTAATAAAGATTCCTAAAGTTTTCCTTTCATCGACCAATTAAACACTTCGTTCTGTGGATGTCTGCTCACAAAGCTTTATACCGGCGGGTATTCACAATGTTTTTCTAAAGGCGTTTTTTTAGTCCGGATATGGCTGTGAGCTTTACAAGATTGTCTACTGAACATTTTAAGGAAATGAGACCTCAAGTTGCAGGATAGTTTCACCGGCGTATTGGCTTATCCGTACCTCACGGTCGTCTGCTATCCATATGCCCCAGGTTAAGGCCCCAGACTTGGCGATCTGCTCGGACAATATCCGCAAAATTGAATCCGTACATGGCTGAGATGCAGACTCAGTATTTTATTGTATATTCCCTTGTTGTAAGTGTACTTTGTACCCAAGGCTGTTAAGAAGAATCTGCGAATTTGTATTTGGGTTCAAGTGCATTAAATATATCATTATTATGCAGGGGTGTCAATTGTGCAAATAATGAGGAGCGGACCGAACGGAAGGCCTGACAACCTACCTCTTCCCCATTTTTCTCACCGGACTTAGCCCCTTACGTTTCAGTT